ATATCCGACAGGGTTGTATATTTATCGCGTCTCGCCTCTTCTCGCCAGATATTCTCGCTGGCTTGGAAAATTCACTTGCTTGCGTCTGCATAGTCACACCCTTATGGATGAAATTGTGACAACTGTTAGAGATTTCGAATTGGGAATCTATAAAGATGACATTGAAGAGCTCATAATGGAAACTGAAACTGATCTGACATCAGAAGAACCCCAAGAACTTTTAAATGAAGAAACAAGAATTACAATTAGATGTATTTTTTTTCTGAAAAAAAAAAGATGAAAGAGGACCAATGCCAATATCTGATATTAAAGAACTTTTAATGAATTGGGAAGATGTCAGAACAACAATCTTAAAATAGCATCCAAAGCAGGTTGAGGTTAATTAATAGGCTTGGAGATCTTTTCAACGACAATGTTATTAATTACTTCTGAAAAATCCTGAAGAAGAAAGAAAGCAATCGATAATAAACAGCTTCTTTAACGTCCCACAAATGGAAAAAAACATGACTGATAAAATTGCAAGACTGTGTATGTATGCATTTTTGTTATTACATGTAAATAAATATAGTAAGAAAGTATATACAGTGGTACCTGAACGCCCCAGCATACGAAATTTTCAGAATACAACATGAAATTTGAACATATTTTTGCTCCACGATACGAACAAAAATTCACCATACGAAAGGAGGCTATACTCTGAGGGATTCAAGTCATGATATCAGGAATTTTTTATGAGTAGTCTCTCCCAGATATCAGATCCTTCAGCATGCATTTGACTGATATCATCATAGATATATTAAAAGTTTTTAAGAATTGAAATGACTGGCATTTGCTCAGCAATTTTTCTTTTTATGTCAGATGAAATTTTTTTACTTTCTTATTTAATGCACAAGTACAATTATTTACATCAAGTGTTATATGTACTATACATGTATGATGTGTATGTTGTATATATGTTATATATGTAGAACATATCATAGTTCTCATGCAAGCTGTTAGAATAGTTAATTGCAAAGAATAAATTTCAGTACAAAGATAAACTTTGAAGAACAAAATTTTCTTGAACAGAATTTCATTTAAAACAATTAAAACATTTAAAATTTAATCACTATTTCAATAATAAAGAATAGTTTGATATGTTTATTGTACTGTAGAAACACACATTAGAGTAAGCAAAGAAGTTAAAGAAACTTCCAACGTATGTATAGTGTATTATTAAAACTCATTTTTGAAAACAAATTGTTGACAATTTGTAACTTATTTTTTTAATTATCTAATTATATAATACATTTAATTAATATGCATCAATGTCCTTAATTTAAACAAATTATTCTTTCAATCACCATAACGGTGTATTTCTATTAATAGGACTTATCACACTGGTGTATAAGATTACAGCAACACAGTCACACAGATTAAAATTGTTTTATTTACAATTACCTGGATAGGGTAAATTATTGTCATATATTTAAGAAAGATTAATGAATACAAGTAATATCTTTAATATTAGAAGTGTTTTGGTTTTGATTTAGAAGTTAGGAAATATTTTTGTGACCAGAAATAAGCCATAGGAACTTAACTCTTGTTTAAATCAGTTAGTCTAGGGTAACATTAGTTTTGTTATA